CCATTTCCATAGACGAGCGTTTTCGGGAGCGTTGCCGTGAGCGAAACTTCGACTCCCGACAATGCTTCACTTCCGGGTTGGGCCCGTCACCTAATAGCTTCCCCGTTGGAAACTACAAATCCCAGAGTCATTTCGCGTCTACGTCATCACCACAGCATGCGTTACCTGAACCCGTGCCAATGCAAGTTGGACGGGCCCGTTTAACTCCTGCCGAACGGAACAGACGTCAGAATCACAACCTTTGTATTTATTGCGGTAGTGATGGTCATTATATTGCCTCATGCCCCATGCGGGGAAACGAGAGTGCCTACCAATAAAAAGAGGGGTATTGGTAGGTACATCCTCTTTCTCTCCGCAACAACATAGATTAATGTTACCCACTGTAATTCAAACTAATCAGAATCGTTTTTCCGTCTCAGCATTGTTAGATTCAGGTGCTGAACAGAATCTCATCAGCCAAAAATTAGTTAATGAATTCGCACTTCCCGTAGTAGAGATTCAGCCCCTCAATATTGCTGGTGTTACAGACGAAACCCTCGCCCAGATCAAATATAAGACCACCAACCTTCATTTAATCACTTCCGGTAATCACCACGAACACACCAGTTTCCTCGTTTTCGAATCCCCTTCCACGCAAGTCATTTTGGGTCATCTGTGGTTTAAGAGACATAATCCACACATTAATTGGGAACTGGGTAGGATCGAGAAATGGAGCGACAAGTGTCTAAAGAACTGCCTTCGCTCCGGTATCTCGAAACCTTCCCTGAACCCCAGTTCCGACGATGAGATTGACATGTCCCAGGTTCCCTCCGAGTATCATGATCTTTCCCCGGTTTTCAGTAAGAGGAAGGCTCTATCTCTCCCGCCTCATCGCCCTTATGATTGCGCGATTGACCTTCTTCCTGGTGCCCCCTTACCTGCCAGTCGGCTATTTAACATCTCTGGCCCAGAAAGAGAGTCAATGAAAGCTTACATCGAAGAGTCATTGGACTCCGGTATTATTAGACCTTCCACCTCTCCATTAGGAGCGGGGTTCTTCTTCGTCACGAAGAAAGATAAGACCCTGCGTCCATGTATTGACTATTGCGGTTTAAATGACATAACAATAAAGAACAAATACCCCCTTCCTCTCATAGACTCAATTCATGAACAGCTTTAGCCCGCAACCATTTTTACGAAACTCGATCTGCGTAACGCCTATCATCTTGTGCGGATTAAGAGCGGTGACGAATGGAAGACCGCTTTTAGAACTCCTCTAGGTCACTTTGAGTATTTGGTAATGCCCTTTGGCCTTACCAACGCCCCTTCAGTGTTCCAGGCTCTTATAAACGACATTCTTAGAGACTTTCTCTGTGATTTCGTATTCATCTATCTTGACGACATCCTCATTTACTCCAAAGACCCCGATCAGCATATTACCCATGTTAGAGCGGTCTTACAACGCCTCTATGAGAATCAACTGTTTGTCAAACATGAGAAATGCGAGTTTCACGTCTCCTCGGTGTCTTTCCTCGGGTTCATTTTTGGTAAAGGCCACTATCGCACGGATCCTGAAAAGACCCGAGCGGTAGTGGATTGGCCCACCCCGGAGACTAGGAAACAACTTCAACGCTTTCTTGGGTTTGCCAACTTTTATAGGCGTTTCGTCAGAAACTATAGTAGAGTGGCGGCCCCCCTGTCACAACTCACCTCCATAAATAAGATTTTCAAATGGAACCCCGAAGCAGATTCCGCCTTTAAGAAATTAAAGGAACTTTTTTCTTCGCCTCCCATCCTTTCTCATCCAGACCCGAGCCGTCAATTCATCCTAGAGGTTGACGCCTCTGATTCTGGCATCGGGGCCGTACTGTCCCAGAGGTCCTCAGAGGACAACAAGGTTCACCCATGCGCTTTCTTTTCTCGACGTCTTTCCCCAGCTGAGAGGAACTACGATGTGGGCAATCGTGAGCTCCTCACCGTTAAGTTGGCCCTCGAAGAGTGGAGGCACTGGTTAGAGGGAACAGAGACTCCTTTCTTAATCTGGACTGATCACAAAAATCTAACCTATTTGAGAGACGCTAAACGTCTGACTTCCCGACAGGCCCGTTGGCCACTCTTCTTCAGTAGATTCAACTATACACTCACGTTCAAGCCGGGATCCAAGAATGTGAAACCTGACGCACTCTCCCGCCAGTTTTCACCTCCAGATACCCCCGACCGTCAAGAGTCTATCATTCCCTCTACCTGCATTATTGGGGCACTTGGCCTATAGAAAGAGAGATCAGAGAGGCACACGAGCACGAACCTGAACCTGGTCTCGGACCCCCCGGAACCTTATTTGTTCCCTCTTCCATGAGGGCCAAGGTTCTGGAGTGGGTTCACACCAACAGACTTTCTTGCCATCCTGGCGTAACTCGCATGCTCTCACTTACCAAGAAACATTTTTGGTGGCAAACCCTTTCCCAAGACGTGAAGGAGTTTGTTGTGGCGTGTCCCACCTGTGCCAGAAATAAAACAGGGAACCAACCACCGGCTGGCCTCCTTCATCCTCTTCCGTCACCCGGTCGCCCTTGGTCACATATATCCATTGACTTTGTTACAGGCTTACCTCCCTCAGAGGGGAACACCACTATTCTGATCATCGTCGACAGGTTTTCTAAGGCAGCTCATTTCATTCCCCTTCCTAAGTTACCTTCAGTCCTTGAGACTTCACAGCTCCTTGTCCAACACGTCTTCAGAATCCACGGCATCCCCTCAGACATTGTTTCTGACCGAGGTCCCCAGTTTATCTCTCAAGTTTGGCGATCGTTCTGCAAAACACTGGGGGCATCCTCGAGTCTCACTTCTGGGTACCATCCACAATCTAACGGCCAGGCCGAAAGATGCAACCAGGAACTAGAGGCTACCTTACGCTGCATCGTGGAGGACAATCCTTCGGTCTGGTCCCGTCACCTGGTCTGGGTTGAGTATGCGCACAACTCACACAAGACTTCTGCTACTGGTATGTCTTCCTTCGAAGCATCGCTGAGGTACATGCCTCCTCTGTTTCCCAGTCAGGAAACGGATTGCATGGTGCCTTTGGTCCAACACCATTTCAGACGGTGTCGTCGAGTCTGGCGTCAGACCAGTTCAGCCCTTCTTCGGACAGCTGCCCAAAACAAGAGATACGCTGACCGCCACCGCTCGACGGCGCCGCCTTACCAGGTTGGTCAAAGAGTGTGGTTGTCCACCAGGGACATCCACCTCAAGGACCTCACCAGGAAGATGGCTCCTCGATTCATCGGTCCTTTTCCTATCGAGAGGATCATCAACCCAGCAGCAGTCCGTCTCAGACTTCCTACCTCCATGAAAGTCCACCCTACCTTTCACGTTTCCCAGGTTAAACCGGTATCCGAGAGCCCGCTGAGCCCTCCAACCAACCCCCCCCCCGGTTGATCGACAATCATCCGGCTTTTTCCGTCCGGAAGATCTTGGATGTCGGCGCCGGGGGAGAGGTTTCCAGTACCTGGTGGACTGGGAGGGTTATGGCCCTGAGGAGCGATCCTGGATCCCACGTTCATTCATCTTGGACCCCAGCCTCTTCACCACCTTCTTCCAAGCACACCCTGAGAAACGCTTCAGATCGCCTGGAGGCGATTCTTGAGGGGGGGTACTGTGAGAGTAGCACTTGCTGCAGCTTCCAAGATGGCCACCAATCACCCCCAGCTGACGGTCATCTCCCTGATGAGCTCCTGCTCCTATTTAAGCCTGCAGTCAAGTCTACTCAACGCTGGAGCATTGAGTTCCCCCGGTACTTAATGTTTCTAGCCATTTTAGTGTTTCATGGAATACAAGTCTTACCCTGTGATCTTGTTCCTACAGTTCCTCGTCGCCTCCTGAGTCCAGTGCTGTTTCCACGGGTTCCAGTCCTCAGATCTCTCGTGCCTTGCCAAGCTCTGATCTCTCGTGCCTTTCTACTCAGTCTCTGGGAGTGTTCATCTTGTTCTGGAACTGCTGCACAGTGCCTCCATCTCACCATCTCCTCTGGAAACTCTGGGCTTCTCTTGGATCCACTTTTACAAGAACCGCCAACTGTAAGATAAGAAAACTAATTTCAAGTCTGAACACAACAACTTACCTGTCCCAGCTGAACTTGTCCTCCGTTTCCAGGAGTTCCAGTCCTGAGGCCTATGCAGTCAAGTTTTCACTGTAAATAAATAAACACTGTTTCTTTTTACTCTGAGTCTCGTGTCGTTCCGGGTCTCGTTCGATTGGGTCACTCCCGAGTCCTCACAATATTATTTTGTTTAAAACATATGGCTAAAACTACATTTGATATATTTTGCACTGTTTTGCACTACAAGAAAGAAGCCTAATACTTGATTTGTTTATTATAAAACTCTCTGGACCTAGTAATGGAATTTTCTTAATTCAAAATAAACGATTGCAAAAGGACACCCTATGCTTTTTTTCCATTCCTATTGCAAGTTTTATACATACTCATATTGTGATATATATAGTTATTGCCACCCTTCACAATACATATTGTGAAATTAATTTTATGCCATATCGCACATTCCTAGTATGGTATAATATGTATAGTACGGTATAGTTTGGTATAATATAGTATAGTATGGTATAATATGTATAGTTTGGTATAGTATGGTATATTTAGTTTTGGTATAGTTTGGTATAGCTTGGTATAAAGTTTGGTATAGTATGGTATAGTATGATTTTGTTTGGTATAGTTTAGTATAATATGGTATAGCTTGGTATAGTATGGTATAGTATGGTTTTGTTTGGTATAGCTTAGTATAATATGGTATCGTTTAGTATAATATGGTATAGTTTGGTATAGTATGGTATAATTTGGTATAATTAGACAGAAAATATGTAGTTTTTGTTTCTGAACAGAACCAGAGTCCATCTGTGGTTGTTGGCCTTGAGGCGTGACACCTGAACAGCTGCTGAGAAAGCCGTGCATTATAGTTTCACTTCATTCTTTTAATCCCAGTGACTTGTTATCTCAGGAATGTTTTTACCATGGCAGGACATTCTCCACAGTGATTGACAGAGTTGTTTCCACCTCTTCTGAGGGGGGCAGACGATTCACCACACAGCACGCCTGATGGCTTCCCTCCTGGAAGAGCAAGAAGACACAAATCAGAGATAAGAGCCGTTTCAGCAAAAACAGTTATTATTGTCTACTGGCTCAAAATCATGGTTGCTTGTTTAGTAGGGTGGTTAAGTGGGATTACAGCCTTGGTGTTCTGGATCTTACTTCAGAGCAGCTTTCAGGTTCTGATCTTCTTACGGGGCATTTATTGATGGAACTTTTGACATGCTGCTGGCCCTGTCTCAGAAATTTAACGAGACATTTGCTTATAGCTTCATTTATACTTTAACACAACTATCATTTCTGCATTACAAGATATTTTCTTTTTCACAGAAACATTGATATTCATGCAGGAAGTGCCCCAAGTCTGCACCTGCTACTGCTAGCTGCTGCTGTTTGCTTATAAATAGCCATATAGTTCTGTACATAACTGCATAAACAGTGTTTGAATTAAGTGCTAAGAAACATTTAAAACTGGAGTAGTTTTAAGACGGCAACAATCCACTTTGCTCTTAGCAATAACTTGCCAATAAGGTCAGATTAAACTTCTTCTTCTTCTGGCTTTTCAAGGAGGTGCCGTGGATGCATTATCATCTACCTGGAGGCGGTGCTTGAGTGCCTAAGATCTTGGAGGTAGCGGGAAACGCGGCTCATGACAGCGGGAGGACCGAGATTGTCCCCCGGCACCTGCAGTTAAGTTTGCGGCAACAAGGGGCTTGGCAGGCTGCTGGGAGTAATGGCAATCGCTCAGGGAGGAGTTCTGCCCAGCATGCTGCCCAAGAGGACCAAGAGTTCTGCTGGATCTGGGTGGACAGATCGGCATCTGCAGACAGTTTCTTTGGATCCAATGTGGGACGAACCGCTACAAGAGATGGATTTTTTTATTTACGCATTTTAAAAAAGGTCAAACCCTTTTTAAACCGTTGCGACTTGGAGAAGGCCGTTCATGCTTTTATCAGTATTAGGCTCGATTATTATAACGCTCAGTATGTTGGTGTACCTCAGTCATCACTGAGCCACCTCCAGCTTGTTCAAAATGCAGCAGCTTGCCTTTTAACCAACACTCCTAGACGGGACCACATCACACCTGTTTTACTCTCACTACATTGGCTTCCTGTCTGTTTTAGAATAGATTTCAAACTTTTATTTGTTTTTAAAGCTCTGAATGGTCTCGCTCCTCCTTACATAAGAGAGTAATGAAAGTTTCCCCACCTGCTCCAGGTCTCTGTGGTCAGACAACCAGCTCCTGCTCTCTGTTCCTAGGACAAAATATAAACGCTGGGGTGACCGTGCCTTTTCTGCGGCCGCACCTCGACTCTGGAATAAGTTCCCACTTAAGCTACGTCAGATTACTGAACTTGGCCCTTTTAAATCGAAGCTTAAGACTTTTTTTATTCCAACAGGCTTTTAGTACTTCAATATATGTTGACATTTCTGGTTCTCTTTTTGCTATTTTATTATTTGTTTGTTTTTCTTGCTTTTAACTTGTTGTCATTTTAATTACTGTTTTTGTTAGGCATTTGGTCACAATCACTGTGGTTGTGTAAAGCGCTGTAGAAATAAATAAATGAATAAATGAAATGAAGAGATCCTTCCTGCCTAAAGCCATCAGCATCTAGAACAACTCTAATGAAACCAGGATGAGCTATAACAACTATTAATTTCCCTTTGGGATTAATAAAGTATTTTTGAATTGAACTGAATTGAATTTTCCCTCTTCAGAGGTCGCCACAGCGAGTCATCCTCCTCCATCTCACTTTGTCCTCTACATCCTCTGTCCTCACTCCAACTACCTCCATGTCCTCTCTAAGGTCAGAATTAAACTATTTCTTAAAACTGAGGAGCCAAAAAGCCATCTAAAGCCAAATCACAATAAAAAATAAATAATACTGAATTCCTTCTGGACAAGAGTGCATATACATTGAAAATACCCAGCAAACAGAAAATCCCGGGCGTTTCACGTTGATGGTGATACTTCAGGTCAGTTCATTACAGGAGAAGCAGCTCCTACGGTCAGCCTCAAACCTTCTCACTCAAGGTAAACTATGAAGGAAAATAAAGTATTTTCTACGACAGCGTATTAAGGCCAACCAGAGGACGAAAAAATAAATTATCGTAAATAAACAGGAAAAATAGTTTCTTCCTACTAGTTAAAATTAATGTCAATATTTTAAGATTAAAGTTGACTGGAACAAATTGAAATACAGAGGTAATGTGTATTTATGCACCCACCATGCTCCATTACTTGATTAATATTGACTTTATAACCTTTTCTGCTCCTGTGCTGTTATTGTGAATAATATTAAAATGTTAAAATACATTAAAATAGTGATGTGATTCCAGAGAGTCCTGGAGAGGTGTTTCATCTTCCACAACTCCCCGATGTTCTGTGCGTGCAGCTGCTTCGAAAACAGCTTGAAAGTACAGAAGGGAGGGTGAGGAGAATAGCAAAAGGAGATTTTATAAGCTAGCAACTTACTACAGGAAGCTCAGAGGGGTCTCAGACAGGTGAAGACATTGATAAGTGTGTATTTGTAAATGCATTGATGTTCTGTGATTGATTTCAGAACTAGTCTGAAGGGAAGGTCTACCTCAATCCAAGGAGTTGGATTGTGGAATGTTCTAGAGAGTGATGTGAAAAATGCCAAGTCAATGTGCACATTTAAGAAAAAGATCAAAACTGAATTGTTAAAAAAGTATATATGAAGTAGCTTAGTGTGTGTTTTGTATTAGAATTAGATAAATTAGAAAGTTATTCATTTTGTACTGTTACTTGAAGATTATTATGTCTGAAATAATTGTTTGTAAAAAGGGGCAGATATAATAAGATTTTTTCTTCTTTCTGCTGCCTTTCATTTTAAATCTTTTGTATTTTTTTTATATTGTTATGGAATTGTTTTGTACTTTTTTAAAATGAATAAACTATATATACCATACCATACCATGATTGCTGGCTGTTCTCCAAAGTTTTGAAATAAATCTGATGAAGTCTACACCTGATCGTTTAGGGAACCCCCCCCCCCCCCCCCCCATGACAATACTATAATAAAACAAAGAGAACAGCATATGACACGTTATACGCCCTACATTATGCCTGACATTTAGTTATGTCTGAGTCTTTGTGACATGTCCTTGTCTCAGTTTTTACTTTGCTTCAGGGGGAAATAAGTGACAGCACATTTACTTTCACACTAAAGGTCTTCACAACACTAGCTTTATTCAGAGCAAAGTTTGTTTTGAACAAAAACCAAATGCTCCTTTCCTGCCCGGAGGGAACTTCCTCAGAGTCCAATGAAACCTACTAAGATTCAGAGAACACATAGCTAAATGTTTTTACAAATTGTGTTAGTTTATTTATTAAATGTCTCATAACGGACCAAGACCTTGTTCATTTGTCCAAGTTTTCATTTTTCTAACAGATGTCCACTCCTGGGAAGATTGACAGCCATATTAATTATTTTTCCACTTGTGAATACTCCGTCACTGGAGAACGATGTTCTGTTAGGAAATTACCTTTCTAAATTATTGTAACCCTTCCCAGACTGATGGTTTGGTTGCTTCTTTGTCAATTCTAACATTTCTTGGCACCATTTTAACACATCTGTATGCTCCAGACCAGCAAACTGACCAAAACCCTGATTTTATAGAGGAGATCACACAGATGATGAACATATAATCAAGTTTTGTTGATCAGCAACACCTGGTTGTCATTTTCCCTCTAAAATCCTATGGAAGAAGCAAGGTAGGACTTGGGTTTTTAAACACAGCTTTACCATTTTGTTCTTGTTCAAGAAGGACATGGTAAAACTTTGTTAGTTTTGTGCACTGGAAGATAGAGTTAAACACCAACAATGTTCAATCAGGTCATCTGGACAGTTTAATTTTATTTTTTTTGTAGAGACGTTTCGCCCTCCATCCGAAGGGCTTCATCAGTCTGAGAAGTCACAAACAAACTGTTTTCCCCAATAAGCAATACACTGCTACAGTGGAACAACCAGTGGACTGTTTACTTTCTTCAAAAACACAATCTTGAAGTGACCACCAACCAACCTGAACGAACTCTAGTAATGGGTCACACATCCAAGCAGAATTAAACCACACGACACCAAAAGCTACAGGAGGAGTATGGTTGAGGTGCAACTTGAGACATTTACCCAGATATTAGTAGGGTGTATGTGTATATTTGAATATAGGTATAATTTTGACCCTATGGGGATTAGAGAAAATTCATAGTAAATTTAAACCTGCGCGCCCACCAATTGTTAAAAAAAAAAATCACTGAAGTTGTGTTGTATAATAATTGCAGGTTACACACAAATCAATAAAAGCCCAGCATTAAATGCGGCATGCATGCTCATGATGAGCGTGTAAATTCTGACTACAATTCTACATTTGCCTGTTTGAGAATTTGACAATCCTATGAAAGAGAACCATAGGTTGCTCCAGCATCCAGACAAAACTCTACAAACCTTAAAAAGCATTTTCAGCCTTGGTCCTGATTACCCATGCTTTGATTTATTTTTCAATTACACAATTTATAGCAATTAAAAAAAGAATACAAGAAATAACAACTGGAAGCCTTAGACTATTCCTAAAATAAAGAATACTGTTCTTGTAAGAGTTGTTTAATGTGGAAAGTGTTGGAAAGTGTTGGAAAGCTGAAAGTGGAAAAGGGAGAGGCATTAGGAGGTAAGGTAGACGGTACCTGGTGGGTTGTTCCTTCGATTGGCGTAAGGATCCTCCGGCTCAGCAAAAACACTGGAGGCCATCTTGTTTTTCTTGGCAGGAAGCTTCTCCTCCTCTGAGCCAAGTGAAATGTTGGAGCCCCCACCAGGAGGACGCAAAACCCTGGAAAGAGACAAACGATACTGTTACTAAGAGCTGGATAGTATGGGCTTATTCTTATAGTTCTTGTCAACACTACAATTATTTATGATATTCTTACTTTTATGGTTTCTGCCGGCTGAACGACATCATCAGGACTATGACCTAGCTGAAAGAGCTCATGGACAAATCTCAATGTCTTGCTGTCAAATGCATTTGTAATGTTTATAAATGTGCTTGTGTCCTAATAGGACAAGATGTGAACAGATCTTTTTGTAATACCACTATCCATCCTCATGGCCTTTTACCTTTTTCTATCTAAAAAAGTATTCTGATAAAGAATAAGAGGCTGAGCTCTTGTAGCAGCAGCAACGTGCACTCCGCCCATCTTTCGGACGACTGTACGAACATAATCTATTCAATTCAGTTTATTTATACAGCACTGCATCCCGGTAAAATGATAATAAAGCTTATTCTGATTCAATTGATTTTATAGTTTTTATGCTTGTATGTGTCAGTGTACGGCACTTTGGCCAACGGTGTTGTTTTTAAAGTGCTTTATAAATAAAGTTGTATTGTATTCTACGCTGAAATACAGAACTAAAAGCTGCTCATAAGACTCAGATTACGCAGCTGAAAATCAGACAAATTATTCATCAAGGTCATAAACATTAGGATAGGGCTTTTTAAAATTTTGCTAAGTACATTATGACTTGTCAAGATTATATTTTGGGGAAAAAAAAAGACAAAATAACTAAAGAATAACCCACTCCCACAGGAACAATGGGATTGGATGGGTAGAGCAACCGTGAATAGACAGTATTTTGAGAATTAATCAAGATGAATCAGTTGATTATGTCATTGCACCATAAAATTAAATCCATTTAATTATTAGATGAGAAGTCTGCAAGCTGGTTTGTTTCTACAGACAATGGATCAAAAGTAAGGGTGCACCGATAAATCGGCCCCGATTTCCTTAATTTTGGGAAATCGGAAATCAGCCGATACTTGCATGAGAAACCAATTTTACTATTTTTTTTTTTAGTTTTAACAACAATTGTCTGAACTTCATTTATATTTCAGAGCAGTACCTCATGGCTAGGCCTGTCACGATAACAAAATTTGCAGGGCGATTAATTGTTTCTGAAATTATTGCGATAAACGATAATATTGTTTGAAATTTGACAATAATTAGTAATTATTGTCAAATTTAATAAGAAATGGTTAATTTTTGTGTAGTACCTTTTTTAACCACTGAATGGCAGTATAAGAATGTTTGAACCGAAGGCTGGATAGTGAGGGAGCGAGCAGCGTGTATTTAAGAAAAATGGGAGGGAGGTCCCTTGATGTGACACGGGCTGTCTCTTGTTCCTGTTTTTCGGTTCTCAAAATGGCGGACACTCGGTGTGGTTTGAGCTCATTAGCATAACATTTGTCACACAAAGCTTTAAAAAAAAATCAATAAACAAGTTCTCAGCTTCTTTTTGAAGAGGTAAAACAACGTTTTACAAGGCATGGGTTTCAACTGAATTTTGGAGCTTTGACAAGACGGAAGTTTTTTCCTTAGGTCGGCCTGTTAGCTTAGCTCGTAGCTTAGCCTCTCAGCTTAGCTGCTTTTAACGATCCAAAAACGTGATTTTGGATGGTTAAAACAGATTTTAAAGAGAAAAGATAAAGGGAGGGGTCATTTAAGAGCACCAGAGTTGAGCCTTTTGTCATCCAGTGTCTTCAGTAGAACGAGAGAGACACGAAGAAATGATAAAGCCAATAAATGAAAATGAGGTTGATAATTTTCATTTATCATGCGATTAACTGATTTATTGTTTATTGTGACAGGCCTACTCATGGCCAGTTAAAACAAGTTTGTATTGTTTCTAGGATATTGGTGAAGTGTATGTTTTTCAATAAATAAGATTGGGAAAGTGAAGGTGCATTGTGCCCTTATAACACCTGACAGTGTCGCTTATAAAACAAAATCTGAATCGGCAGATCAGACTTTTTAGAAATCGGTGATCGGCAAGAAAACTGCAATTGGTGCACACCTAAGTAAAACAGATATGTTCAAAATGTGTGGAACTGGACCTTCCGTACGACTCTTTTTCGGTGCCGTATCTGATGTAAGGTGGATTATTTTCACTACAGAAACACTGCGTGTTTAGGAGCAGAACTGTAGCAGCTCTGGTGTAGCAGTACCATACCATACCATACCATTTTATTTATAGAGCACTTAAAACAACGACAAGGCCAACCAAAGTGCTGTACAGACAGAACAACAGGTAACACACAAAGCAAAATACAAAATGAAGTAAATCAGAATATAGACATAAAAACTATGCAGATAATGACGACTAACCAGTGTGGAGCATACAGGTTCAAAACACAGATCATCTGGTGTTGAATGCTACTGAATAGTAGTGGGTTTTTAAACGGGACTTGAAAACCGAGAGGGAAGGGGCCTGTCTGACAAGCAGAGGTAACTCGTTCCAAAGTCTTGGTCTTGCTACAGAGAAGGCCCTGTCACCTCTGCACTTAAGACGAGTTCCTGGAACTGTGAGGAGCAACTGGTCCGATAACCTCAGGGGGCGTGGTGGGACATACGGCTGTAGCAGATCAGAGAGATGGGAGGGCGGCACTGTTCAGCGATTTGTAGACATACAGTAGTATTTTGAACTGGATTCGAAGGTGAACCGGAAGCCAGTGCAGGGAGGCCAAAACTGGTGTAATGTGCTCTCTTTTGCCTGTACTGGTTAAAAATCGGGCTGCTGCATTCTGGACCAGTTGTAGTCATGCAATGGAGGTTTGACTGATACCAAACAGGAGCGAATTGCAGTAATCAAGCCTAGATGTAATGAATGCATGTATTACTGTCTCCAGGTTATTTTTGGACAATATGGGCTTCAGTTTAGACAGCCGCCTCAGTTGGAAGAAACATGATTTAACAATCGTGTTTACATGATTGTTAAGTTTCAGGGAAGGGTCCATTATCACTCCCAGATTAGTGACTCTTTGTTTTTCTGACAGGGTTAGAGCGGAAAGGTCGATGCAGTGGTTTGTGATCGTGTCATTGGGAGGGAATAACATGACTTCAGACTTCTTTTCATTGAAACTTAAGAAATTTAAAGCCATCCAGTCCCTGATGTCAGCCAGGCAGTCGAGCAGAGGTTGAATAGAGCATGTACCATTGTGTCTTAGGGGGAAGTAAATTTGACAGTCATCCGTGTAGAAATGAAAGGGTATGTTGTGTTTCCGGAAAATAGCACCAAGTGGCAGCAGGTATAAAGAGAATAGGAGGGGACCCAGGATGGACCCCTGCGGAACCCCCCATTTAAGCTCTGCCGCTGCAGAACTAAAATCCTTGATGGAGACACAAAAGGATCCGTCAGTGAGGTAGGATCTGAACCAAATGAGGGCTGACCCTGTGATGACCACCCACTGCTCCAACCTAGCAATGAGGATCTCATGGTCGATGGTGTCAAAGGAAGCTGTGAGGTCCAATAGGACAAGCAGCACAGAATCACTGATATCTGTGGATATGAAGATGTCATTAAAAACCTTCAGTAGGGCAGTTTCAGTGCTGTGGAGAGGTTTAAAGCCAGATTGGAATAGCTCCAAGATGGCGTGATCCTCCAGGAAGTACTTCAACTGGGACTCAACTACTTTCTCCAGTATTTTAGAAACAAATGGGAGTCTGGAGACAGGCCGAAAGTTGGACACGACTGAGGGGTCAAGGTTTGTTTTTTTTAGGAGAGGCTGGACAGCAGCATTTTTAAAGGATTTTGGCACTATGCCAGTGGATAAACTGCTGTTTACTATATCAAGAATGGACGGACCTAGAGTAGGAAAAGCCTCATTTAGTAGTCGAGGGGGGACCACATCAAAGGGGGAACCAGAAGGTTTCAAGCTGTACATGACCTGCTCTAGAGAAGAGAGTGATGGGTTCAAAATGGTCAAATAGAGCTACAGATTGAGGTTGGATGGATGGTTCATGTGTTGGAGGGGAAATGAGAGCCCAGGTGATCGCAATTTTTTCCAAAAAGAAATGTAGGAAGTTGTCGCACAGCTCAGTCAAAGCTTCCAGAGGTGATGGTTCAGTGAGTTGTAGAACAGAGTTTATGGTAGAGAAGAGGACGTGTGGGTTATGGGAGTTTGAGGTTATGATATCAGAGAAGTATTTGGATTTAGCAGCTTTCACTGCTTTCTGATAACAGTGCCAACTCTCTTTAAGTATTTGTAAAGAGACCTGCAGCCTGTCTTTCCTCCATTTGCGCTCCGCCCTCCTGCATTGCTGCTTAACGGCCTTGGTGACGTCACTCAGCCAAGGTTCTGCTCTGAGTTTTGATTTTTTGATTTTAATAGGCGCAACATGATCCATAGTCTTTAAGCAGACAGAGTTGAACTGGGATGTCAGTTCCTCGAAACACTGGGGGCTGACTGATCATTTTAGAGTTATAAACATCTGTGAAATGTGCGGCAGTGAACTGGTTAATGGTCCGGCTACTACATGCAGGAATGCACGGCTTAGGAGTTAGATGGGGGAGGGTGAACTCAAACTGGACCAGCATGTGGTCTGAAAAAACATTATCACCAATAACAAGATTACTAACAGTCACATCACGAGTTAAAACAAGGTCCAGTGTATGTCCGCGCTCTTGGGTGGGACCATTTACATGCCGAGTTAGATTAAATGAGTCCAATACATCTAAAAAGTCCTTAACCAAGGGCTTCTCCTGACAGCACACATGCAAATTTATGAAATCCTTAGACCGAGGTGGGCGATAGACAAGTGCAAATAACATTGGAGGCCGAGTTCAAAGACGCAAAGCTGGTGCGGGAAACTGGGATGGGCAGTTGTTTACAGTCAAAAGTTGGTTTGAATATTCCAAAAAAGTTCAATCTGGTCCTCTGGACATTCAAAAAACAAACAAAAAAAAAAGCAAAAAAATATAGAAACGTTTCGTTCTATGTCGTATAAGCTTCGCCCTTTAAGGCTGTCGCTGATGGGTTTATCCCGTTATGCACAGCAT